GAAGTTACTCAGCATCCCAGCTCCCCTTGCTACCCTTTTCAGCACTCAGGTCACCCCCCCCCACACACACAACCATTCCCCCAATACAAAATTAAAATTTCCCCCTATGCTGGCCATACACTATTCAATCCCCTTTAGATCCGCCATCAGCCATGCGGTGCAAGGGCCGGCCCTGACTGGATGCAAATGAGATGGCTGGGGTTTGTCCTCACATAGAGCTTTGGTAACCCTACAGGAAATTGCATAGAGATTGTACAATCGGATTGTACGGCCCGCTTCTCTATACCCTCCACGAAGCAGACTCCTGGCTGGTCATGTGATGCTCCGGGGGGGCTTCTAACTCTTCAGTGCCGCAGAGCTAACACTCTAACGCCGGCGCCCCACTCTCTGCAGATTCGCCCAGTGAGCCCAGTATACGGGTACAGCCCTGGAGAGGAGGCGGGCATTGCAGCAATAACATTGTTTTATATTGTAACACGCCGCGCTTTAAAGCGGCAGAGTCTGGTTTATGATTACACAATGGCATGGGAGGGGGTTTCTATGCGGCCCTTTAAATATGTTATGCTAGCAGGATTTAGGATGGCACTGCACAGGAAGGGGGCGGTCGGGGGAATGGTCTGAGCCTGACTCAGGAAGCGTTGCAATGTGCATTCGGTCTGAGCTGCAGGTCCGCCGTGCTTTCATCATTCGGTAAGGGTCTTCGTTACGATGTTTCGAAATGATCTTTTATGGATGCAGTTTTATTTTTATTGCATCGTCGGAATGTTCCTATACCCTGTGATAACAGCAGGGGTGTGACTACAATAAATGGGGCCCCATAGCAAAATATTGATGCCCCCCCCTGTGACCTGGCAATGTCAGGTGGGACAATAGTTTGATGCCTAAAGGACGGGCAGCAGGAGAACACAGTCAGCGCAGTGCCAGGGTTTACCTGCTGTGGATAGAAGTTGATACATGAAGAGGAGCAGTGCAAGGAATTCACTTAAGGTGGTATAGACCACCTTAAAAAAAATAATAATAAATGCAATTACATTATTTTACAAAAAGTGCATGTATTAACTTTCTTTTTTGCAAAGGAGTCTGCAAAGCATGGTGACCCCGATCAGTGTATTGCAGGTACAAAGCAAAGGCTCCCCGAGCCCATACTGAGGTCCAAATTTTCAGTTACGGGGCTGGGGGGAAGTTATCAGTAGACAGCAAGCGCGGTGACATCAAAGCACTTGTTCTCCATTGAGATCTACCACAGTGGCAGATGGGACTTGTAGTTTTTCATTCAGAGATCCGTGTGAATGGAGGACGCAGCTGTGCTGAATTTAAAAAAAAAATACAGGATGCTGCAAGATGAAGAACCCCCGTTATTAAGGTAAGTGAGGGGGAGGGGGTGGTTTGAGGATGGGCGGCAGCAGGCTGTGACTGTGTTTCATATTACACCCTGTGTATGGGCATAACATGAAACCTGGTCACAAAGGTGGAATCAGCTAGCTACTTAGGGGCCGGTTTACAAACCTTTTGCACAGCTCCTTGCCGTGCAAACAAAATTGGGTGTGCTGTATGGCCACTAGATGGAGCTGAGGAGCATTGGAAATTCCTATACTCCTCCGCTTCCATACAGTGGCCATACAGCACTGAAAATGCTGCTGACATATTTAGGGGCTGATTTATAAACCGCTTGCCTAGCTCCTTGCTGTGCAAATGAGATTTGCTGTGCTCTATAGGAAATTTCTATGCTCCTTGGCTCCATCTAGTGGCCATGCAGTGCAGATAGGAAATTCCTATGCTCCTCAGCTCCATCTAGTGGTCATGCAGTGCAGATAGAAAATTCCTATGCTCCTCAGCTCCATCTAGTGGCCATGCAGTGCAGAGAGGAAATTCCTATGCTCCTCAGCGTTATCTAGTGGCCATGCAGCGCAGATAGAAAATTCCTATGCTCCTCAGCTCCATCTAGTGGCCATGCAGTACAGATAGGAAATTCCTATGCTCCTCAGCTCCTTTGAGTGGCCATACAGTTCAGTTTGGAAATTTCTATGCTCCTCAGCTCCATCTAGTGGCCATGCAGTGCAAATAGGAAATTTATATGCTCCTCAGCTCCATCTAGTGGCCATGCAGTGCAAATAGGAAATTCCTATGCTCCTCAGCGTTATCTAGTGGCCATGCAGTACACATAGGAAATTCCTATGCTCCTCAGCTCCATTGAGTGGCCATACAGTTCAGTTTGGAAATTTCTATGCTCCTCAGCTCCATCTAGTGGCCATGCAGTTCAGTTTAGGAATTCCTATGCTCCTCAGCGTTATCTAGTGGCCATGCAGTGCAAATAGGAAACTCCTATGCTCTTCATCTCCATCTAGTGGCCATAGAGTGCAGTTTGGGAATTCCTATGCTCCTCAGCTCCATCTAGTGGCCATACACTGCGCAAACAGTTTATTTAATCAGTATGTGATCAGCATTTTCTCAGCGTCATACTTACATGTTACATTTTCATACGAGCATCAAAGCACTGGTACTCTTTTGTGCATGGACTTCTGAGTCTAAATTGCTGCCTGTGCCCACGCGCGGGGAGATCCACCTTCTCCTTTTGTCTTGGCGACCATTGTCACCAAGAGCGATAGGAAACCCAACATTTTACAGTTGCCTCCATAGCAAAAGTTTAATCTTTCAATGGGGACACACTTGTTCTGCCAACAGCCGGGGGCAATTTCCTCTCAATTCCTGTTACATCTCACAGAGGGGAAGTGAGGTGAACTCTCCTCAAGGGGACACAGATGGAAAAAATATCAACCGAGGATTTGTAACCCTTGCACACATTATGCAAAACTAAAGAGACGTCGGGCTGTACATGCGCTTTAATTCTGCTTTGCTTTCAGCAATTTATATTGATATGTAATATAATATTTTTAAATTGAAATTTCTTTATTTTTATGAGAAATATTAATTGTAGGTGGAAACCTGTTTATTAACCGTTTAATACCAGAACTTTTAACCCTTCCTAACCCTTCTATACTTAAAGCAAAACTAAAAAAAATTAAAAACTTTATATTAAACCACAAAATGAAAGAAAAAAGTATTTGTGAGAACGACTCTTCCACCTTTTTTTCCTTCTTCCTTTTTTCCTTCTTCCTTTTTTCCGTGGAGAAGAAACAAGGAACAAAGCATTGCCCATCCTCCACCATCTCACATCAGCTTCATATTGCTACTCATCGTTCCATTGCTGCACCACAGAATGGGCTTGAAGGTCCCCGTCTGTCATATATGGTGACCCTCATCTGGTGAGACAAAGGGCAATGGGTTGGATTTGGTTCTTGGTATGAACTGCAGGCGGACGGCAGTGGGAACTCCTCGGTTGATATACTACATAGGCAGGGCCGGATTTCCCACAAGGCCAACCAAGGCCCGGCCTCGGGGGAGCAGGGAGTAGAGGGGCAGCAGGGTTGTGGAATTCCTATCTCCCGATGCCCAGGGCACGCAGTTCGGGGCGCCGGGCGGGTAGTTTTTTTCTAGCCCGGTTTTGGGCAAGCAGAGCTAAATGTACAGCGGGGAAGCCACCGCTTGTTTCGTACAAGTGATCTTGGTGATGTTGCCAAGATCACTTGTATGCAGCCTGCACATTTTACTGTATTTTTTCCAGCAAAGGTCCTCATGACCAGTTGCCTCACAGATGGAGCAAACATCAGAAGAAAATGCTGAAGGTCAGTCTACCCGATATCTAATACCACAGAACTTTCAGAGCTCATGGTATTAGTTATACATCATATGGAGTATGTTTTGTATATGGAAATTGCTTGTAAAATTGCTAATGTGGTCAATGATCATAAGGACCTCTATGCATTTCACCTCTGCCCGTAACATAACTAATGCTTTACCATCTATCTCTGTAGTTCATGTTTTCGAACGCAGACATTTTAATTTCTTTTGTCACGTTCCTGTGCGATATTCATCATCTCTGGTTCCTTCCTACTTCCTCTTTACTGATGGGCCTGCAAACCACAGATAAGTCGTCATGAACCACATGGTTGGAGTTCACCTATAACCAGCAGCCCAAAAGACCATCGCCAATGATCTGAGGCTCAGCCATTTCTTAGGTAACTTTCCATTCTGCTTTACAGATGACCTCCGGAGGTTCCGTCAGAAGCTCTCTGGATATGAAATGCATGAGCTGCGGATCATGTATGAACATTTCAAAAAGGACCTGGTCTACATTGTCAAGATTTTGAACACTCAGAGCTTGCTGGCAGAGCTGAAATCCCGAAAGGCTCTAAATTTAGAGGTATGAACGTGTTGTCCAAGCGGCAGGTATCCCAGTCCATTAAAGTGATAACCCAACATTTATGTTTCAGTATGTTTAGCCTCATACCTCCACTGTAAATACTTTGTTGTGAATCTATTGCAAAGCTTCTTACCTGGAGATCCTGCCAGTAATAATACCTCCAGCTTCTAACTGATGCATGTACCAGGTAGAGACCAAGTTGGAGAAAGGGCTTCCCCTTATACCTCATGTCCAATACCCCCTGGAGTTGGTGACAGCCTGTTGCAGGCATGGGCGGATCCAGAGTCTATTCTCGGGAGGGGCACTGCCACAAAATTTAGTTTTACTTACAGAATGGTTAATATTTTATTTAAGACGGTTTCCCGGCCAACCACAATTAAGCCGGCCAAACAACATGCAGCCGGCTTCCCTGGCAATCAGGAAGCCGGTTGGCATGTCATTACCCGCTGCCGGCTTCCTGATTACCTGGGAAGCCTGCTCCATGCCAGTGGAAGCACCGGTATTGGTATTCAGTATCGGCGAGTACCAAAAGCAAAATATCGGTACTCGAACTCGATACCGAAAAGCCGGCATTGGTGCATCCCTAGTTTTGATTAAAACTATTTTTTTTGTATTGGGACAAGTAGATTGTCATGAAGGGCAAGTAGATTCGGCCCCCGCTTTAGCCCTTGGACAAGTTGTTTTTTAAAAAAAAATTCCACACCCCTGATTACAGAACGATGCAGAATACCATCAGCAATAGAGGACTACAAATCCCAGCAATACATTATACAGCAATGCAGAATAGCATCAGCAATAGTGGACTACAAATCCCAGCAATACCATTATACAGCAATGCAGAATATTGTCCGCTTGAGTGTGATCTCTGCTTCCTGAAATGTGCCCGCATGCTCCACCAACTCTGGAAGGCTGTGATAATGACATAGGGTTTCGACGAGGCAACTGAAAAGTGGCGGAACATGTGAAAGAGTGAGTACTAGTGGGTAGAGGGTTTACATTACAGGGGAATCCTAAATGGGCACATAAAAATCACCAATTAATTACAAGTATATTTACATGCAATCAGCATAAGTACTTAAATTTGAATTGATATTAATATTTCCTTGCCCAGCAGCACACAGACTGGGATCAGCTGTGCTGCAGTGTATATGTGCTGGCAAGACACCTGATAAAAGGAGATAGGTATGAGATGATCTCCTCAATCTTCTGCTGCTCATTCACTCTCCAATTACTGGCTGGAGGTATGGAGGTGACTAGGTTGTATTGCCTCTCTACTAAACCCCTCGTATTGCCTCCCCAACACCCTTCGAAAAATGAACCTTTATCTGTGCAGAGGATGCCGATACCTGACCAAGGTTCTATCCCGCACCTAACAGTTTCGGCTGGAGTTTGGCTTTAGGGTCAAGGTTCTTGTTTGTAGTTTCCTATATATCAGTTAACAGAAAGTTACACCAGGATGTCTCCAATAACTATCCACGCTTGTAGACCAAACCAGCATTGTTTGGAGACCTTGTTAGCTCCTCCCTTTATCTCCCGATGTCCTTGTTTCATTACAGGATTACGAATCAATGAAAAGAGACCTCGGAGACTCTGCCTTCTCCGAGAAGTTGGTACAGGATGTGTTGGACGCTGGAAGAGAAGCCGTGATAAAATTCTGGGAATGTCTCTACAGTCTGCAGACCAATCACCCTCATCACAACTTACTCGCAGTACTTTCGGAAATCCAACACGTTGAAAGTAACATAATATTATGAACGAGTTTATATTTTATACTCATTGAAATGTATGTAAAGGAGATGCAGTCTAATAAGTTCATCTCTCTGTCACTCTGCTTACGCCACCGATCAGCATTGTCTTTGCACTGCGGTTCCCTGTGCTGCTTCCCTCTCCCCCAGCCTAAGCTTTGTTGTGCAGTTGACTGAAATAGGCTGATGGCAGGTCAAAATTAGGTAATTACACTGCATGCATTAAAAGAAAATAGTTAATGATGTATCAATGATTATAGAACTGTATTCATGAGTGTCTTTTAGATTGACCTGGAGTTGAGTTTTATCGATCCTGTTGGTGATTACCAATCATTACTTAATTTCAGTCAACACTAAGCCCCCCGTCTTCAACCTCATGACTATAAATCTGAGGACAATCCTGTGATTAATGCGTAAATGTATTTTTTGGGGGTAAATTGCATATTATTTTTTCCTTTTCAGTAAAAACTTCGATAGAACAACAGTTATTGGATGAAAATGGACACTCACTGGATCTGGAAATACAAGGTGAGTGATCCAGTGGCTACTTAAGATAGATAGATAGATAGATAGATAGATAGATAGATAGATAGATTGATAGATAGATAGATAGATAGATAGATAGATAGATAGATTTGAAGCTTCCCTCCCCACTTTAATTTCCCACTTCCTGCAAATCCCAATTGGCCAGTTAGGCGGGTCAACATTTTAATAGGGCGTGTTGATGGAGCTAGGTAAACTCCATCCACATGCTCTAGAAAGGTAAAAATAAGTAACACACATAAAAATGACAATGAGCCAGCTGCTTTGTTGGAAATAAAAGCCTTGTTTACAGAGCTCAGTAGCTCAAGCTTCAATTTATACTCGCATCTGATGTAGAGACATGGCTCCTCTCTGCCTGCCCTGACCCAATCAGAGAGAGATAGTCTGAAGGGAAATAGCTCCTGATGCAATTTTTTGAAAACACAGAAAGATTGGGACATTAGTGTCATAGATGCATCCTGTATTTATTGTTTGTTTAAAAAAAGTATATAAATAAGTATATACCATATATAGAATATATCTATGTCTGGCTATCTATATATATACAGTTACACTAGATGCTGCAGATCTAAGTGTAACATCTGAACCTAAGCTGTAGTTTTGTTTTCCTGACTGTGTCTACATAGTAATCTGCCATAGGAATGAAAGACAGGAGACCAATCATTCTTCTCTATGATCAGTTTCTAAGGATATAGACAAAGGCGTGGTTGAGGTTTTAGTATGAAAATTGATGTACGTCCTTATATTTTGTGTCCAGAGGTCCAACAAAAGCACAAGGAATATCTGCTGAAGGAGACACAGAATTTAAAGGAAAGTCAGCCACCGGGAACCACCCTGGAGAGTCAAAGTTTCCCCATTTCAGAGCGTTATGTGGATCTGGTTGTCGTGTCCACAGAGAGTTTTAGACTCCGTACTCAGCATGAGCTGATAGAGATCGGAGAAAAACATGAAAGCTGCTTGTGTAAGACTCAAAGAGGACTGGAGCGCGTTTCTCCCAAGAGGCTCTTCCGCTGGTGCCACCAAATAAAAGGTGTGCCAAATGTCATAATGATCAGCGGGGTACCAGGAGTAGGGAAGACCACCCTAATGCAGAAGTTTGTCTGTGATTGGGTGAATGGAAAGCTCTATCAGAGATTTTCTTTTGTTTTCTTCTTCAAATTCCGGGAGCTCAACCGGCTGAAAAAAGTCAGCTTGGAGGAGATGATCCTTCACCAGTATCCTCATCTAAATGTTCAACTTGAAAACATCTTAAAAAACCCAGAACAGCTTTTATTTATCTTTGATGGCTTGGATGAAAGCTGCCATAAGATGGACTCTGCGTCAAGTCCTCTGTACACCAACACAAGGGACAAGCGAGACCTTGGCGTGATCCTGGTTAACTTGTTGAGGCAAACTCTTCTCAAGGGTTGCTCGGTGCTATTGACCAGTAGACCAGCCAAAGTGGCCTCCATTGATGCTGACAATTTTCAGCTAATTTGTGAGGTCATGGGATTTTTCCATGAGGAACGAAAGATGTACTTTGTCCAGTATTTTGGAGACAACGCTCTGTCTGAACAGGCTTTTGGTCACGTGAGGGACAATGAAGCTCTGTATACTTTCTGTTACATCCCCTCATACTGCTGGATCATCTGCAAAGTGTTATCGATGTGCTTCCAATCCCCACAAACAAATTGCAATCGGTTGGAATTACTGCCAAAAACAGTGACGCAACTCTTTGTGATTTTCATTAGCAACATTCTAACCCATCATTCCCAGAAGGCAGAGTGGGAGGAAGACCACAAACTCTTACTGGCTGTTGGATGGTTGGCAGAGTATGGGGTGATGAACCATGTTATTGTGTTCGAAAAACGAGACCTGATATCTTTTATGGTGGACTCGTCGTTGCATCTCTTTACATCTTTTATGATGAAATCCAGTCAACCTTCCTATGTGAACTATTCCTTCTTACATCTTACCATTCAGGAGTTCATGGCGGCTTTGGTCCATCATGTTGACTATGCACCTGGAAAATTACAGCAAGCGCTTGACAAAGCCAAATCATTTCAAGATGGGCGTGCTGAAATATTTCTTAGTTTCCTTTTTGGCCTGTCTGATGGTTCCACCAAGGCTCCTCTAAAAGGTTCACCTCTCAATTTCTCCACTGAAGCTTCCAAAGACGTCATCACCTGGCTCGGAAAACTCTCTTCACTAGTCAAGAAGACGACAAAGAACGCTCAGGAAAGGAAGGAGACTTTAAATATTTTCAACTACCTCTTTGAATCTCGAAACAAAGCACTGGTGTCAGAACTTCTTGGCCAAAACCTGACACTTGATTTCTCAAGATTCAACCTGAGCCCCCTCGACTGCACGGTGTTGGCTTTCATTTTAAAATCATGCCAGGAATCCAAATGCCTCGATCTAGAGAAATGTTACCTTGAATCGGAATGCTGGGAGAGGCTTTCCCCAGGTCTTCATACGGTGCACACACTTCGGTGGGTAAATATTAGCGTTTTTTTTGTATATAGCTGAAACTTTCCATGTTATTATAGGTTGTTGAACAGTTATTAATTGAGGGTAATTCTCCTCAATGGGGTCATATACCGTACAAACCTAGCAGAGATAGTAACTCTATCTTACTTTATCCAAAACTAAAAAGTATTTGGCTAGTGTTCAGCTTTATATGAATGTATGAGAACCTAAAAAAGTCCTAACACTAAAATATATGTATATTCTTAATCTACTTGATAGATTACATTTGAACGCACTGAAGGATGAAGACATTCACTTTATAACTAATCCGCTCACTCACCCTGACTGCAAAATCCAGAATCTCAGGTAACTTGAAGAATCTAAAAAATTTTGAAGAATCAGGTTTGTGTGATGTCTACCTTGACCTCAAAACTGACTCTCTTGTCTTCAGAACAGTTTCAGTTAAAAAATATTGAGTTGTTGGCCATAAAGATAAAGTCTTATTGGGAGGAGAAGAACCTAACTTAGCCTCACCTTCAATCCCAGAGTTCTCTCTGCAATGTTAAGCAGAAAGAACTCCATGGGAAACCACTAGCACTCTTGATGGACACGGCATGGAGTAAACCCAGTGCTGCCCTAAGTGGATAGTGGTATCCACCCTCTGCTCTAAATAGACTCCTATGACACTCAAGACCTCTCTTTCTTGGCCATGGGCCAAAAATGTACAGTGGACAATAAAAACCAATGTATTAGGTCAGATGTAAATAATTCAGATGGGCAGCACAACCTGAAATTAAGTAGCTAAGACATCCAGATGTTTAACCTGAGCTGATAGGCTACATGGACAGTTCAACCTGAGTTTGAGCAGATTGCAGTAATTCGGATGATAAGGGCACCTTCACATATAGTAAAGTACTGATAGTTTAAAGGAAGAGTCCATCCCAGAAGGTAAAGATGGAGAGCATTCGTATGTGTTGATGAGAAGACCTTTACATGTTCGAGACCAGTTTTGAATTCTTAAGGCAGCCAAGCGACTAACCGAGCTGAAGTGAAGTCGGCTACTCACGTTAGCCCTGTACGGCTGATTTCAGCTGTAGATCGGCTGGCTTCGGCTCCCTTCGGTTCAGCCGAACATGCTCAACATGTTCGGCTGACCCGAAGTGAAGAAGACGTTCTACTCGGCCAATTCAACATCTGGATCGGCTGAGCCGAATGCCCGCCAGTTTACTCGCCCCTATTCTCATTCAGCTCCGTTATTCTACTCGCTACCTCCAAATAAAAATCGGCGTGGGGCCCCCCTCCCGATCCATACTAGACCTTTTAGGTCTGGTAGGAAAGTAAGGAGGGACCCCAAGTTAAAAAAAATGCATAAGGTTCCCCACCAAGTCCTACCATGCCCTTTACGTCCGGTAGAAATTTAAGGGAGAACCTTACCCCCCAAAAATGGGGGAATAAATGTGGGGTCGCCCCTACAATTTCCAACCACACCCTTAATCCGAGCACAGGTCTGGCAGGGCAGGAAAGGGGGGGGCGAGCATATAAACCCAGATGCTGCCTCCCCTTGTGAATAAGTAAGGGCCCTGGTGGCTGAAGTGAGCTTAAGGAAACGGCAAGATCCTTTATCTCCTTTGTGAATAACCCCCCCGAAGTATCGCCAGGCTACCGAGCTCGTATGATAGGTGGCCATCCATCCAAAGATGGGATCATCTTGCAGCATTTCCTTTACTTGCATATGGCGCTACATTGACTAAGATACCCCGGTCTCCTTGAAGCCCTTTTTTGGAAAAAAAAATTCTTCCTGGAATGTTTTTTTTTTTGGCTGACTGAACAAACACAACAACTGAACCAAAAAAGTACATTTCTTTTTGTAATAGCAAAACCACAATACTTCCCTCTTCATTGGTAACGTTTAGGATTTGCAATTCCAGGAAAAATATTAACAATATTGAGGACTCTGCGGACATCAGTAGACCACAATGCATTGCACAAGCAGGTCATGTGACCTATGAACGGTCTGCTTCAGAATTATTTCAGTAAAGGAGGATGGCAAGATTTTATGATGCTTGCACCAGGATTACGCACCGTGTACTTCCTGCCTGACTTCTATAGGGTATTAGTTCACTTTAATAGATATCTAAACCCAAGAACCAAATGTAATACGATGCAGACCTATGATATGGTGGCTGCGGTAGTTTTCAGGGTAGGTACATTTTCTGCAAGTACAGAAAAAATACCAGTTGATCCCGCCAGAAAAATCCAGTGTCCTCATCACTTCCTGTGCACTGAAATGAAATCTCACACGATCAGCATTGCCAGCTTCCTTCTGTGTGCTACAGAATATCATCCCCCTATGTGATAAGGAAGAAGAGAGGGGTAGGTGTTTGAAATCCAGATCAGGATAGCAGCCTAATGTGACAATGCATAGATACAGTACAGGTATTGAGCGTTGTCACAGGGAGTATGTTTCTGGCAGGATCATTGGGTGAAATCCTGGAAGAATAAAACTAAAGCAGCCGTCACCTCTAAGGATAGCTAACCTGCAATATAATATTTTATTGTTTTGGGGTTCAGATACGTTTTAAGGCAAGGCTAGATTTTTGAATGTTGTTATCGAATGCTTTTAAATTGTGACGTAAACACCAACTCATCCATTCTAATGTCTCTTTTTGGAATTTTTTGTCCTCTACAGCTTGACTAATAATGACCTGACCAGTCTTTGCTGCCCGTCCTTGGCATCTGGTATCTGTGGAAACCTTTCCCTGACATCACTGGACCTGACTTCCAACAATCTGACGGGTACTCACTTCAGTATCCTGATCGACGTCCTGTCCAGCCGCACGTGTATGGTGAAGCACCTTGTGTGAGTATTCAAGAGATGAGTGGTGGGGAAAGGGTCAGAGGTTGTACACGGACAAAGGTCCTCTTCAAGGGTCAGTCCACCCAGACCTCATTTTTCTAATACCCCCCTGATGGTTTCTTTCATCCTTGGTTGGGGAAATCTTTGAGTTCTCGGGTCTTCACACCGGATGTGCTTATTAGAAGGAGCTTCCATCATCCCTGCCGGATATTTTTATTTATTTTTATATTATTATTATACAGGATTTATATAACAGTTTGCGCAGCGCTTTACAATATAAGGAAAACATTACAGTTACAATACAATTCAAGAAATATGCAGAAAAAAGATGATATATTTCCTTTAAAATGTATTCTGCTCACGGGGAAAGCATAAAAAATTCTCTGCATCAGAAAAAGCTAGTTAAGAGCTGACCAGTGTCCCATGGCCTTGGCTACCACACTGTGGCTAATGGTGGCTCACCTCCACCCACCCATAGCATCTGGGATACAGGTAGGTAGAGCCTTGTGATGGTGAAAGAAGACCATCGAATTACATACTCCACCTTCCTGTATCCCATTTCCAGACTACAGACAGGAAGGCCGGGGAAGAATGGAGCTATAGGGTGCTGACCACGGCCTCAGAAACTGGAAGTTTTTTTTTTTTTAAAGATGAGCTGAAGTAAAACAGCTAAATACACGGATTAAATACACGAAAGCTGTTTTATGTGCTAGAGGATTTTTATCTTGGTCCATCTAGTCAAAGCTCTGCTCTGAAAACCAAGCCAAGCCAAACCAAGCAAAATGTAGGTACTTACACCGCTTGTATAAAAAAACACATTTAGATATAATAATGAATTATTATTCATTAATTATAAATATATACAATATATATTATATTAAATTCATATATATATATTGAACCTTATGGACCTGTATCTTTATTCAGCCTCACCTACTATGTAACTATGTATGTCTGGAGTTCAGCGGTTGGGTTTCATTGGCTCATATAATAAACCAATATTACACCTAACAGACCTGTACTGGTGATTCCATTATCTTTCAGGCTTTGTGCCGCCCAACTGACACATGACGACTCCCAGTGTCTGGTGTCACTGAGCAACAACCCGAAACTTGAGTACCTAAATGTCAGCCACAATCACATCACCGATGCTGGTTCCGGACACATAAGGGACCTCATAGAGAAGTCCTCCAGCCTGAAAGAGATCAGGTGAGTCAAGTGGACAAAGCACCAACCCAATGTATCTCATTGTTACTGGCTCATGAAGGACAAATCCCCATCTCCCCCAGCCCAGGCCGGCATTAGAAATGTTCAAAAAGTGCTTGTTTTCATTGTAAACACTCGAAATGGAATGTCTATGGGAACATCAAGAACTGTAGACAGGTGTAGACACGTCTCTTTGGTGACCAAGAGCATGTCTCATAGGCTGCAATGTATAAGGGTTTTTCTAAAGAGAAATGAGGCTCTTTTGGTCATTGGTCACAATGTAGAGATATCACAGGGTCCCATGTGCATATACATGGTGTGAAACAAGGAATACGAGGGACCCATCATATCATCAGTTGGGGCAGTGTCTGTGTCCAAAGGAATGTACTAGATAGTATAGCAATCGTTATACAGTTGGAATGTTCATGGAAGGTTCCAGGAGAGCCAATGCATTTCGGTGGTCAGCATTACCTTCATCAGGACCAATCTAATATACAATATATGTGATCTTAATCGATAAAATGCATTCTCTCTCTCTCTCCCCCTCTCTCTCTCTCCCCCTCTCTCTCTCTCTTCCTAGCCAAAGCTACGTTCATGATATCCCATTGTACTTCAGTAATGTACCTAAGTTGTAGATGTATTTGTTTTTTTCCATAATGGATGGATAAAAATGTTCAATAAAAGAATTTATTTAAAAAAAAAAGAACTTAAATGTATCAGTAGAATTAGAATAAAATGTCACTGGTGTATGGCCATCAAGTGCACAAGGAGCTAATGGATGGGAATGTGATTGAACTTGCTGCTCCTTCATGGTCCAGTCACAGGCCCTTGATCAAGTTTTATTGATTTAACTTCAGTAGAGAAAAGTCAGGTCAGAACTTGTCCTTGTCAGCACTTGGATTGGCAAACTGGCCGAAATTCGGAATGAAAGAAAAATTAGGGAAACACACTGTTATAAGCTGTGTGTGCCCTCGTATATCTGACAAAATGTAACAAAAAAGAAAACATTTAAAAAAAAAGATATTTTTAATAAAATGATATTTCTATTTTTGTATAATGTGTTGCATATATTTTTGTTAGTTTTTCTTTTTTGTCAGATATACAAAGGCTTTGATAGCAGCCTATAGATGTGTATAGATGTGAAGAGAAAATGTATTGGTCTCCATCTCCTAGGGTTGCCGCCAATGGATTTTCAGAAGACGTCATCAAGAAGCTGGAGAGCCTTAAAAACAGCCGTCAGGATCTTGTAATAGATGTTAGGGTTCCTCTGGAAAGCGACTCGAGCCCTTAGTGGGGACTTGAACCCACGCCTCCAGGGTGGACTTATCTTGTTAGATTTGCCAGGATTCGATCGTGCTGCCAGCTTCAGACAAGTACTTGTGTCAGGATCTGGATCTGAATCTGAACCCAGGGCCTCTGCTGTGTCTGGCTGTGGCTCTTCCTGCTGAGCCACCTTAGAACCTTGGATAGCTCCTTCCCTGATCTCCTGTGTAATCCTCAGGTAAACCTAGTTTCTGCTGAACTCTGAACTCCTTGCTCCTCCCTTGAACTTCCTATTTAAGCCACGCCTCTGCACTTCCTGTTTGCCAGAATATTGTGCTCCTGCCATTATCTTGCTTCCTGCTCCCTCTGTGATACAATTTGCTCATACTGCTACCCGTGTACCGACCTTCGGCTGCTGATTCAGCGACTACTCTCACCGCCTTCTGCTACATACCTGATACCTTTGGCTACTGACCTCGGCTTGATCTCTGACTACGCTTCCGCCTGCTCCTCCACCACAACCGTCTGCTTGTGCACCAAACTCGGCCTGTTATACCACCAATTTGCCTGCTGTTCAGCCACTGGACTCCGAGCCTGATCCCAGATCGTGACAACTTGGGAATAAAGAGTCACACCAAATTGTGTATTCACTCTACATTCAAAGGTTTATTCTTAAAATAAAAGGTTATATGTGAAACGGAAAGGGGGACGGCGGAGCAAAGACCAATAAAATTCATGCATGTATACAAAGCTACTCATGATAGTAAGGATCATGAGACGACCTTGGGCCGAATTTACTTTCCCTGCTGGCCCAAGGCCAGGTTCCTCAATGTGCCCCCCTCCCGGCCAAACCCCCAGAATGGCAGAACCCCCAGTGGAGAATGGCAACCAGATGGTGGGGGGCGGCAGGGTTAGTTTTAATTTTTTTAATTGTTTGTTTATATTTTTTAAAATATTTTTTATTTTTATATTTTTTTAACTTTTTTATATGTTATTACAAATGATCTTGGCGACATCGCCAAGATTACTTGTACACAAACAAGAGGCTTCCCCGCTCTACATTTAGTCCTGCTTGCCCTAACCCGGGCTAAATGTAGAAAACAACTAGCGGTCCAGCACCCTGGGCACGTCCCAGGCGTTGGCGGTTTCCACACCGCTGCCACCCCTCTACTCCCTACTGCCCTGAGGCCAGGCCTCCAGTGTCCTTGTGGCAAATCCAGCCCTGCTTGGGGGTGGGGGGGGGGATTTGCAAAGTAAACAAGCAAAGACACAAACAGAGATCAGAGATACAATTTGCAAAGACTAACATTTTAGAAACGTCTCAAACTGGTTTCTGTGGAATATACTGAAAAAGCACAAATTCTGCTTGTTCAGACATTAACAATGTGTCAGGGAACCAGGGGTACCACCTCACCCCGGGGGGCCACCAGGTACGGTGTAGTGCACGGGGACTCCTTCGGCTTGGCAGGACTCCTGTTGACAGGGTTGCAGGTGCGCACACGCGCGGCAGACAGGCTGTGCAAAGTGTGCGCATGCTCGATGGACAGTGCGCCCTCGGCCATTAGTGTTGTCAGGTGTGGGTCTTGCTGGGGGAGGTTCCTGGCACACACCTTCTGTTTTTCCCTCCAGTCATTGGCTCCTGGACAGGGAAGCCTCCTGG